TTTTGACAATTGCTACAGTTAAGTCTTTCCTCCTGTGACTATACCTGTCTGTGGTAATTGTGAGCATATCTGTATCCTTGCAGTACCGTTCTCCTACAAGTTTAATGATCTTCTTCTTTGCATGGTCATCCAAATTCAGGTTAGAAAGTTTAACCTTCAAGAGAAAACAAATAAATCTGAAAATTATTTGGAAAACCCAATTTCTGTACCCTGAAAAATATTTTAATGTATGGTTAGGAAAATCTTTTAGCAGGATACCTACAAAGTATGCATTTATAGGCTTTCTTTTAATTGTCAAGAGTTTTAAGACACAGCAAGTATAATTCGAGCCTTCAAAGAGTAAATTTCATAAAAGTATCAAAGAGGTTTGAGAAGGAGACATTTTTACTCAATCTTTCTTCAGAGGAGAAAAAAGTAGCTATCATTGTAGTTTGCAGATGTATTTCATATCTGAACTACCTCATGCTGAAAAAAATAGTGATTTTTTTTTTTTCAAATGCATACCAGTAATGTTGCCATTAAGATGTTTCCAAGATATTTTCTACATGCATTGAAAAGAGCAGGAAGGACCACAAGGTATTCAAAACTTCTCAACACAATTACTGAGAGATTTGTGATAGAATAGAGCTGAATACAGATATGAAAAGAATGTATCCATCTAATCTCACATAACCGGTGACATAGTAGTGTGAATATTGATGGTTTCTCTTTTGTTCTAATATTAAAAAAAACTTTAAACAATAAAACATATAGCAAACAACTATCACTTATGTAGAAAGAAACCCTAAAAAGTAAGTCTGAAGCAGATTTCTGTCTATATAGCAAGTGTGAAAAGTAACGAAAGCTAGTTTTAGCTGTTAAGTTTCAGGAAAACTACAAAAAGGTGAAAATCTAGAAGAAATATAAAGCCCTAATTAAAAAAAAAAAAGTAGTAGCTGCAAAGAAAAAGAAATTACTATTGAAATTAAGATAATAAAGCACTATTTCTTAATGCAAGTCTGGGTCATGAAAAAGAGAAGAAAACCACCATGTATGGTCACAGTTAAGAATTCTTTTAACACCGTTTCTCAGATTTTTTAAAGCTTTTTTAGCCATACCTTAACAAAACCTAGGTTTTGATATATTTTTTACATGCTACGAACAACATTACGACTTAATAAAGATCTGCATCTAGGAATGTGACAGTTAGAAATACATCAGAACAAGGAAAAAAACTCTATTTATAATCAACCAGACTCTATTTATAATCAACCAAAATCTGTGATATTTCTAGTAAAAGGAAGAACACAGGCTCATACTGCACAGTTGATAACCTAGAGGTGTACCTGTGCCAGCTTTACAAACAATTTGATTTGTCAGAAAACACACTATTTTGTTTCCAATAGAGATTGGTCTTCATTTATAAGTTCTGAGACACTGCTATATATTTTAGGAAGTCTAATTTTTCATTTGGGCTTTTGGTGAACCACGCTTTAAAACCTAGTATACTTGTAAATATTCCAAAAATTAAACAAACAAGCAAGCGAGCATTTGTGGTCTTAAAACAAATGTGTGTTGCTTACGAAAAAACAAACAAAAAAACACTACTTACTTTTAAAGTCACAACTCTTGCTTTGGGATTACGAATAGATGTCCCTGCACTAATGTAATCTACTGTTTCAATTTCAATAGGAAAATGCTGCTCACATTTCTGGTCACTGTCCAAAGCACTTGGCCACTCAGTGCAGAAATCTGAAGAATAAAAAGAAAACAATTCAAGTAACATGTTTTCACTAATCTACTGCAATATATCCTTTTAAAAGTCATTTTTTTAATAAAACCTTTACTCATTTAGATAATGGCAGTGCCACTACTGGTCCCCAGCCTATACTGGGGCAGAATAAACCCTGCATGGGTTATTCCATCCTAGATACAGGACTTGCAGTTGCCTTTGTTTAATCTCATAAGCCCATTTCTCTAGCCTGCTGAGGTCCCTCTTCCTGGCAGCCCTGTTCCATGATGCTGCTCCCTTGTTAATGGTATTTTCTGTGAAGCTGATGAGTGTGTGCTCTGTACAATCACCCATCTTGCGAATAAAGCAGGCTTTCCTGTACTTGACAATGGCTTCCAGGAAGACTTGCTTCATAACCTTCCAGGGACTGTATAGTTCGCCTTTCTCTCATTCTTGAGATCTGTCAAGCAACTTTCTACACCTTGGAACAGGCTGTTCCTGCAATTTAAGAACTGTCCTGGAACATCCATCACCCCCCTGAGCATCTCTGCCCTCCAGGACAGCCTCTCACCAGATTTTGTCAAGGAAACTCCCGAATAAACCAAAAATCACACTCCTGAAATCAAGAATCTAATTCTACCAAGTGTTTTCTCTTGGGATTTTAAACTCCATAGTTTCAGCGTTGCTGTTACCAAGACTCCTCATGAGCTGCATAGACTTAACTGCCTTTTTTGTGAATAATATATCCAGTAGACCATCTCTGTCAGTCAATTTAGCAATCACCTTCATTAAGAAATGGCTTTCAACCCACTACTCGCCTTCCTCACATTTCTCAAAAACTTTAACTCTAACATTTTATTGTTGTGGCAACTGATACCATCCTCACACCCGCTAACGGTTCATCCTAATCTGTGAGCACCATGTGCATCACAGCGCTTTCCAGTAGTGAGTTTACCTGCAACATGCTACAGAAATCTCCTAGATTGCTTCTGCCTCATTTCCTTTCCAAAAGATGTGTTGTGCTGGCTGCAGTTCCATATGAAAACCAAAGCCTGTGAACATGAGCCTTTCTTAGTTGTGTAAAGGCGGCTTTATTCACTTCCTCTTCTTAATCAGATGGGTTATAGCAAACACACACAAACACAACCAGCTTATCCCCTGTCCTGGAGCAAAGCTCTGCACATTTCAGCCTTTCCTTCCGTGTAGGGCAGGTCCTCCTCTACCTCTGCCTTGCCTGCACTTTGATCGCACAAGCTTTCCCACTGCATATCTTCAACGCCTCAAAGATTTACAGATCTTCCCTGGCTGCATATATTTGTATACAGGCTACTCAAGATGGGCCTTTGATCACTCTCTCCTTGCGCCCCTATTCTTCTTTGTGCTTTGACCATAAATTCCTGGGAAATATAATTAAAAGCCCTACTCTTAACTTATCAAACCACTTTGCAAGGATGCTCTTATTCATCAGACAGACCTTGTATTTGCCTTGTGCTGCAACAGCAAGGTACTGATTACCTGTAAATAAATCAGGCTCTAACCTCCTGAGAAGTGAGTCATACCCATTCACTCATAATCCTTAGGAGACTAAACTAAGGATTCTCTTGTCTGAGCAGTACTTAACAGGCAAAATTAGCCTCTCAATGGTTCCCTGAAAACCTCAGAATATATTTCTTCCCATCAACCATGTAACTCAATACAGAAAAAGAAGGGTATATGTGCCTTTTGCCTTGTCAGCCAAAGCTACAAAAGAAACCAGCTTTAGAAATGGAAACTGTTGTTCCTTCTGCCTTGTAGCAGAGTTACACTTTGAATTGTCTTAAAAGTCCAAATTTGTTCTGACAAACAAACAAAATACAAAAACACCACAAAACAATGAAAGTACCTCACCTCTTAGAGCTGCACAATGTTTCCTAATTGCAGGAGGAGTAAGATGCAAAAAATTGGGAATCTGAAAAATACATACTCAAGTTACCAAAATAAAAACATTGTATGTTCATAAATAAAGTATTAAAAAGGGACATCACTGACATTTGATTACATTTGCAAATTAAGACAGTACAGTATATTTAGTAAAGTTGTCTCTCCCTTTAAATCTGTCATAAGAATTAGGCCTAATTATAGAAGTCACAAGCATGACAACCTTAATTAAGTCCCCTGATGAGGCTCATTTATATTTGCTACTTACACTAATTTTAATTGGAACCCTTATTAAATGTACTCAACAGAAAACCATACCTAGGAAAAGGCATTCTGATCAAAGCAATGAAGTTTTAGTGTGAAATAGCTTTCAAAAATCAAAAAATATCAAAGGAATGTGTCTTACCTTTATAAGCTCTAAGTTGCCTTCTTTTGGCAGAGGTACTCCTCTTTTCACTGGGTAACCCATGCGAATTGGAAGAGGCACAGAAGCAGGTTTAAATGAAGCTGCTGTTGGATAAACACTGGCCCAGTCCTGATCAACAGCCATCCTCTCAGTTCTAGGAGGTACATGCTAACAGATGGAAAAAGATGGAAATTTGATGGGGGATGCACTGTTTTGTGAGACAAAGCAGTATCAATACACATTACTTTTTTTTTTCCCCAGAAATAAGTTCTTCTAGATATAAATGTCAAGCACATGAAAGATTGACATTCTATTTTAAAGGAATTCTTAAGAGAGCGCTTCTCAGGGCTTGGTTAGCAGATTTTTCCTTTCCTAATCTTCAGTGGCCTTTTACTTCAGATATACTTAGATCGAAGACCCTACCATCTTCTTGGGTTCTCATACGTTATTAGGAAAAACAAAACAACACTTAACAGCTTAATTTTCTAAAGCATCTAAGTGCTTGGGAGAGGACAAGGACAGAAGTTTGGAAACTATGGAATTCTGTAACTCTGAACAAGCTCACAGTAAGACTGAAATGATTTGTTTTCAAAAGTCCAGTATCAGAACATATTACCATATTGTTGTAACAGCTTATACACTCCAATAATTGGAGAGAGTTCCCATCAAGCCAGATGTTCTTAATAATAACAACACAATAGTATAGATAGATTAAATGGAATTGGATATAAGCACTCTGACCGTTTTGGTATATCAGCAAGCTTGCCCTTGGTAGCTAAATGAACAGAGTAAACACTAAACCACTTGTACTATTCTACCTTTACAAATCATAATGCATGGTAACCAGACTTTTAAAAATTTTGTATGTAGAATAAATACAAAAATTCTCAGAGATTAAATACTGAGGTATCAGTTTTATTCTACTGTACAAGAACAATTTTGCACACATATGCTAACATATCTTTTTCTCATTAAAAAAAAAAAGCAACTTCTACAAATCCTGTAAACTCCTACTGAAGGTAGCACTGAAATGCCTCTGCTCCTTTTAAGCATAATTTTAAGTTACTTTTCAAGCCTGTAGTATTTGGGCTCAACACAAGCTAATTAATAGTGTTTTTCCCTTTATGAGAAAACAGATTGAAAACAGATGGAACAGTAAAGAATTCAGATACCAATTCTGGAATTTGGTCACATTGCATTGTTTCACCATTTGAAGGAGAGGGTCCTGTACAAACTAGTAAGATAAGAATAGAAAGTCTTTTTAAACACCTCCAAGTTAGCAGCAAATAGTTTTGTTTCTTACTGTTTTTACAAATTCTGATGGCCTGCTTGTTCTCCGTGTTGAGGCTGAAAGAAAAAGAAATATTTTCAATAAGAACCTCCTTATGTGCACTCATACTAGAGCCTCAACAAAACTTGAGGAGTAGCTCAAATCAGTCGCTCCAGAAGCACAAGAGTTGGCTTCTTTTTTTTACTTTACACTCTGCAGTTCACAGTTTTGAAGCTCTAGTCTTATTAAAGGGTCTCTCACCCAAGTAATTGGAACGATATATGAACTGAATGAGTAACATGAACTGGGTTTGGCTAATATCTTGGCTTTACTTCTTCAACAGTCAAGGCTCTCCCCAGAGAGGAAACTGATCTTGCAAGTTTTCACTCAGAGTTCAAACAGCTACTTTGTGGAATATTGATGTAAAAACACTTAATCAGGATCTCGTGGGAGAGGAAAGGATTTTACTTTACAGAATTTCTGTGCGATGCTTAATGTACTTCTTGAATCCAAATACTCGGAAGCACCAAAAAACATATATTCAAGAGGCTTGTCCAAGATCATTATGAAACAGTCTTGACTGGCCCAAAAACTGTTCTTGGAATATGCCTGTTTTATCCTTTAATAGCGGATGGTTGAGGTGTTTTGCCTTATTAACTTGTCTTTATCCTCGCAAATCTTTTTTTAAAAAAATACATAGTTCTTTCCGTGTTGTCTATCGAAGTATTTTATGACTGCAATTCTGTTCCTTCTCTTCATCAAGAAGAGAAGTCACACAATCATCAAAACTAAATCACTCATATGAGGCTCCACAGCAGCAAATACTTATCACTGCTTTATGACTTACCCTGTGCTTTTAAACACACATACTTCATCCAGAACCATCTTGTTGATTATGCCACCAAAACTCTAAAACTTTACATCAGGATTTAAACCCGGAGTGCTATGGGCCCCACAAGCAGGCACCATTTATAGACTCAGGTGGTGATCTAGCTTGCTTCTAAATCTGCAAGAACCATATGCCCACCTAACCTTTAGAAAAAAGTGGACACAGTCTTGTCTACTGTGTCCATCTGGGCTCAGAACATGCTGAGTCGCTGACTCAGACACTGAACATACAACATAAATACGTGGGTCTCAGCAGGCTATCAAAACCTCACCAGGAAGCCCCCAAAACTGCACTGTGCCTCGCCCCTCACCCCGCCACTGTCGCGAAGCGGCCCGGGCCCCTCTCACCTTCCCTCTGCTTGCCTGCCCTGCTGCTCACGGCCGGCACGGAGGAGTAGGCCACGGCCCCACAGAGGGGCCCGGCCGCGGCCCAACCGCCGCACTGCGACAACGCGACCCAACAACAGCCCCCACGCCGCAAGACAGCCCTGGCCGCCGCCATCTTCAGCGCTCGCACGCGCGCAATGGCCCCGCCAGGACGGAAGCCGACGTGGGCCAAAGCTGTCGGAAAGTCGAATCGCACGCGCTGCCCGCCGGGGCGGCGGCGCCTGAGAGGCTGCGATGTGTGGTGCCAAAACCCCGAAAGAAACACCCCAAAACATCGCAAAACGAACGTCCCAAAGAGGGATGAAATGATGAAGGGCAAAGAAACGGAGGAACGTGATGTAGGCTTAGAAATAGCCTTGTCCCCGCATCCTGGCCAGCTGCCCAGGATCTGCCCTTGGATATCCCTCGAGTAAAGGATGTGTGCCCCGAGGCAAGGGGGCAGCTTCTGTTCATCTCTTATTGAATTTATTTACTTGAACTCCCACGTGAAAAATGCAACTTCTTAAAAAACTGTGAGCTGCTCTTTATCCTCTCTGCACCCCTAAAACAGGGGAAACCCATCCAAGCCAGGCAACCAAAGGGTTATGTTAAATCAGAGTTAAATAAAAGAGCAGAAATGCAGGCCTGTTAAGTTTTTGCAGGGGTATACTTTCACCCCTGGCCATACTAAGATTTCCGGTGTTTAACTTGTTTGTTTCACACTGCAACATACCCCTAATCTAGTTTACCTTTCTGTGCTTAATATGGCCTCTCGCTATGACTTCATCTGCTTTACCTTAATTAAGGTTCAGAATGCGCTGAGTAGTTCTTAATGAGGAACATAACTTGCAGAACAAACTGCCCATTATATTTTCCACAGGATTACTCTAAATTTTATGAAATTTGAATTATGGACATTGTTAACAACAGGTGGAACAAGGACAGAACAAGATGTGCCCAAATTCTTAAAAACAGCCCAGTAATTGGAATAGACTCAAGATTATGCAAGTGAATTGTATGATTTTTTTCAAGAAAAATAATTTTGCAGCTAGAATATAAGGTTCTCATTCTCCAAAGATCACTGAAATCTAGGCTTCTAAATGAGAGTTTGGGCCTTAGTGCCCCAGGAGGTTGAAATATAAAACTGAAAGATAGTAGGCATTGTAAGACACCTATCTGGAGAAACAGCATACCTTCCTCATGCTAATTAGACTGCCTATATAAAATTGCACTGGCATGTAGTAGAATTAGCATGTAGTGTATTGAGACATATTATGTAGCTCATAAAGAATACTTGCATTTAGAGTAAAAAGGTAGTTATTGCATCACCATGTCCAGGCTATTTCATAGAATCACAGAATCATAGAATGCTTAGGGTTGGAAGGGACCTCTAGAGATCATCTAGTCCTATTTGTCAGATACTACTTTTTAACCTCACAGTGAAGTCTCTTTGGCAAGGTTCACAGAAACAATTTCCATATTCACACAGAGCTTTACTTATTTCTCCGTGACAGGAGCTTGCAAGTCATTTTACAGCAGGAAGAGAATATGAAGAATGGTTTTGACATGTAAAGTTTGATAAATCTTTGATAAATAATTAGTGCTTAAAATACTTCACAAATATTAAGCAATGACTTAGGCAGCCTTACTGATCTCTTAAGACAGTAACTGTTACTATAAACATTCTTAAGTCTGCTGTATATTCGCACGTTTAAAATATTTTTACTAGAAAACACTCTATATTTTATAATATTTTATTTTCCATATTAGAGTAACAGAAGGGACTCTTCCAAACAGCCATTAACATCTATAGTGCCATTAACATTAATAAGATCCATCTGCCAGTGTAATGTGTTAGTTAAGAGTTCCTGTTTCATGAATTCACTGACTTTCCAAGAAATGAATAAAGGCACTGAAGAAAGGCCTCAAATCCATATTGTCTTTGCTGAACTCATCGTAGTCAGCTGCTTCATTACCATGTGCTATCATTTGTTTTTATTACTGATACTGTGAAATCTGTTGATGCAAGAGAAATAAAGAATTATTTGAATAACTAGTGTTAGGGCTAAGGCTAGGAAACAAATGCACCCTTCTCACTAAATGAGAAGGATCTCTCCAGTCATATAGCTTTGCTTAGAATCTTACATTAGGACTCGATTCCATACTGCCTGTCTTATCCAACAGATGTATACCTAGGAAAACAGTCCACACCATCACAACTATTATTTTTTTTTCAAAAGAAAATCATGAAAGTCCCGCCAGCACTATTATTAGCAGGTGTAATATAACTGCTTGAAATATCATACTTTATAATCTTTCCTGGTTTTGAATTATTTGGTATTTGCATGGCAGGATCTTTTTGTTCTTCATTGTTTCCCCTGCTCTTTCTGCTTATTTTCCTAACAAATAATATCTCCACTTCTTTCATAATTGCTAGCCCCAAGATACTTGAGAAACTCTTATCATTTTAAAAAATGATTGGAGACAAAAAAAGGGGAATAGATGCAGACCAATCTAAATAAAACCCCAGTTTTCCATAAAGATCCGTTGTTTCCATATAACGATCAAGTAAATGTCCATAAAGAAAAATATAATACGAAGATGGCACTTTTCTGTTTTCCATGCACTATCACTAATTATGAAATATCACTGGACAGATAAAATTTTATTTATATTTCTTATGTGTTAATTATAAATACATTAATAGATAGTTAATAGACGTCTGTTGCCAATTTTATTTAATGTTATTTCATCTCAGCATCCATTTTCAGCAACGTAAAAAAAATAGATTAATCTGTATTTTTACAATTAAAAACATCTGAATGTTATTTTCAGGAGCAAAAACTTAATTTATTACCAGAAAACAATTTATGATCAAACAGATTTTCATAACACTGCTACTATGGTGGTCCCATTACAGGTATATTAACTTTCATTAGAGGTTAGAATCAGACCTATAAATAGGATTTACAAATCTTCAGGATATATACCTATTTCGCAAGTATTTTTTTTCCCTTTTGTTTGAAACGGATACACATTTTAAAAACATTTCCAGTTACAGTATGATGAAAGCCACTGGCTTTTTATTTAAAATTACAAGTTTTCATAAGAATGGGATATTGGAAGGAAGAAAAGTTATACTATTTAAAAAGCTCATAAATGAAAAAGTATTGAAGATATTTGATAAATATCTATTCGCTCTATATAGTTTGATCATAGATTGTTATTACTATTTTCCTACTTCTTTCCACTTTTGCAATTTCTGTTCACATCCATCGCTAGCGAAAAAGCCAGCATTTAGAAATTTATTACTAAAAAGATTATCATTCCTCTTTCATATGCCTGGTCAGATTCAGTTTCAGGAAGCAAAATATGTGGATAAAAGAGAAGGAATTTGCTTTTGTGTTCCTGATCAACCCCTGGTTAACACTCTGAGTGCACAGGAGAGTGGCGCAGCAGTCTCCATATAGGCTTGTGCCAGTACTGAAGCTAAGTCCACCTGCTTCCATTGCAGTGCTTGGTGCACAGTGGTAAGGCACTTGGATATTTTCCCAGTGATAACACTCTTCAAATCTATGCAGAATATGTTGTCAATACTGAAGCCTGACCTTATGGTTATATCAGGTGTGTATACTGCATTTCACATATTCTTGCAACAATAAAGAATTACAACTACCAGAGAAAGACACACATGTCTGGAAAATTTTAAAGGAGACAGAAGTAAGAAATATGAGATCATTCCTCAGTGAGGATGTTCTCCATCTCAGGAATGACTTGTTGCTATCATTTCAGAAGAATTATTGCCTCAGACTCCAGAGTAGTAGAGAAAGATTATTATTTGTCTTTAAAATCAGTTACAATAATCACATTGCTCATTTTCGTTACATTCTCCTTAATAAATATTACTAGAGCCTTCATAACTGATTAAATCTATGATAGGAAAAAGCTTTATGGAAATCTCTAACAGAAATTAAAGGGTACGTTATGTCTTTAGAAACTCACCCACATAGATATGTAGAAGTGCACAACTGCAATTATTCTCACAGGAGTATTGCCATCTTTCCAAACTCTCTTCTCAATTACAACACACAATTTCTATGCAAAGAGTCTGTCCTGAAGCAGTAATTATATTTTGATCAATCATTTCAAATATACTTGTAATAAACATCCACTTTTAATGGTATTCTGTTACTTTCACAATACCAACAACCAGATCCTTCTCCTTCAGTGCATCAGTAATGATTTAAACAAACCCAATAAAACAATGCTAGGACACTTAGCATAATTGGAGGTAGGAGTCAAGTAACAGTCAAGGTTCACTGTACAAGAATTTATATTGTCTCTTATTATTTGAAAGTTCTCCATGACTGCTATCTGATACTTCTTCATCAATTAGAATAGATACAATATTTCAAGCAGTAATTTTGTCTTCCCTTTATGCAACATAATCATATCAACAGATACTTTGCCTTATGTGGTAGCAGTTTATTTTAGCCCATACCATAGCATTTAAATTTTCACTTAGGTAGTAATTAAAAATAAAATGAATTTCTATGAAGATATACTAAAATTATATTACAAATAAAAAATTCTAAAAAAATTCTAAAAAATTCTTTAAAAAAAGCACATATGCCAAATTAGAACTCTACTACTACTAAATTTTCGTTATTCCCAAGATTTCCAAAAGCTTACAGAAATTACAGTATGATTAGCAAGGCTGCCTACATCATCACATTAATTTCATCATGGTGCACAGTTATTTCTATGCCTCGTGAAAATGGGGCCTGAAATCTTGGAACTGATCATCCATGACATTCCCAAGATATTCGCTTTAATTATATGGATCTCTTCAACTCTTGAAGGCCAAGCATTGTTTGTCTTTACCAGACAACTGTTAAACCAAGCCGATCACTACTCTGTGAAAATAGGTGACATACATAACGCTTCCCCAACAAAGACAGCCTACAAGTGGCATTGGTGCAGCAACCTTCTAATAACAATTAATGCATTTGAAACATAATGTATATATGGAGCAAAATTACCAGAACTGGATGTTTGTTTTTCAGAGTTCCTCTGCAGAAAAAAAAAATGAACTCTTTTGTCTACTCTTTCCTCTTGATCCTCCAGCTCTCTTCT